ACGTTCTGATACTTTTACTCGTGAATACATTTTGGAAATTATTAAAATGTATCCAGACTTGATCCGTCTTCTTTATATCAATTTTGCTTTAACTCATTATGTTAATCCTCGTGGTGCTGCCCTTGAGTGAGTATGATACATGATTTTTATTTATTTATTTATTTATTTATTTTATTTTTATTTTTTATTTTTATCTTTTTTTTGTGTGTGTGTGTGTGTGTTTATATTTTCACTCTCAATATCACACCAGTATCACTCATTTTTTTTTTTTTTTTTTTTTCTTTATAGACCGACTTTATCTTATCAACGTTTACAAACTGATATTATACTCACAGATGATGAACTTTTAGATAAAATCAAGAAAACTACTTCAAATGCTCATGAATTTTTAGTATTTGAATCTTTCTTAATATTTAATAAACATATTCTAAAAACAAACTTTTATCAACCTACAAAAGTCGCATTATCTTTTCGACTTGATCCTTCTTTCTTACCTAATATAGAATATCCTACAAAATTATTTGGTATGTTCTTAGTTGTAGGTTCAGAATTTCGTGGTTTTCATTTAAGATTTCGTGATGTTGCTCGTGGTGGTATTCGTATTATTCGTTCTAGGAATAAAGAAACTTATAGTATCAACTTAAGATCTCTTTTTGATGAAAATTATGCTTTGGCTGCTACTCAACAAAGAAAGAATAAAGATATTCCTGAAGGTGGTTCAAAAGGTACTATCCTTTTAGATGTTACTCAACAAGATAAAGATCGTGTCGCTTTTGAAAAATATGTAGATAGTATCCTTGATCTTTTAATCGTTGGTAATTCTCCTGGAATAAAAGAGGTTAGTTTCAAAATGAATATATATATATATATATTAAATGTAATTCTTTATTAATACATATTTTTCATATATATATAGAAAATTGTTGATAATTATAATAAACCTGAAATTTTATTTTTTGGACCTGATGAGGGAACTGCTACATTTGTTGATTGGGCTAGTGCTCATGCTAGAGCTCGTGGTGCTCCATTTTGGAAAGCTTTCACTACAGGAAAAAGTCAATCAATGGGTGGTATTCCACATGATCTTTATGGTATGACTACTCGTTCAGTTCATCAATACGTATTAGGAATTTATAGAAAACGTGGACTTAAAGAAGCAAAAATTACTAAATTTCAAACTGGTGGTCCTGATGGTGATTTGGGTAGTAATGAAATTAAAATTTCAAAGGATCGTACTGTCGGTATGTTTTATTTATTAATATATTAATATATATATATATTTATTATTATAATGTTATTATATAATTTATAATTATCTATTCTAATATTCTAATATTCTAATATATTCTAATATATATATTTTTTTTTATTTTTTACTAGCCGTTGTTGATGGTAGCGGTGTATTATGTGATCCTGAAGGAATTGATCGTATTGAATTGAAACGATTGGCTAACAGTCGATTGATGATATCTCATTTTGATACAACAAAATTGACTCCAAAAGGATTTAGAGTATTGGTAGATCAACAAAATGTGAAATTACCAAGTATGTAAATATTTCAAAATAATAATATTTTATATAATTATATATCTTAATATATATATATATATTTTTTTTTTTTTTTCTATAGATGGTCAAGTTGTAGAAGATGGTTTGATGTTCCGTAATAATTTCCATTTAACAAATAGTGTATCTGCTGATCTCTTTGTTCCTTGTGGTGGTAGACCTGAATCCGTTGATCTCAATAATATTAATGCTTTACTCGATTTGAATGGTAAACCAAGATTTAAATATATTGTTGAAGGTGCCAATTTATTCTTCACCCAAGAAGCTCGTATTCGTTTAGAACAAGCTGGTGCTATAATTTTCAAAGATGCTTCTGCAAATAAAGGTGGTGTCACTTCTTCATCTTTAGAAGTGTTAGCTGCTTTAGCATTAAATGATGAAGAATTCGAAAAGATTATGGTTGTAAAAGATGGTGTTATTCCTCAATTTTATCAAGATTATATAAAAGAAGTTCATCGAGTTATTGAAAAGAACGCTGAATTAGAATTTGAATGTATTTGGAGAGAACATAGAAGAACTAATAAACCACGATCAATAATTTCTGATGAACTTAGTCTTGCTATAGTTGAATTGAATGAAAATATGCAACAATCAATTTTATGGCAAAATGTACCTTTAAGAAAAGCTGTATTAAGAGATGCTTTTCCACAATTACTTCTTGATAGATTAGGATTAGATTCTTTAGTAGAAAGAATACCTGAATCATACGTAAGAGCCATTTTTGGTTCATACTTGGCAAGTAGATTCGTATATAAATATGGTACACAACCATCACAATTTGCTTTCTTTGAATTCATGAACCCATTTTATGCTAAAATTGATGATCATTATAGTTGACTTCATAATATTAATGAAATTAATGATGAAAAAAAGAATTTTAAAAAGAATTTTAACTTTAGAAATTACGATAAATTTGTGTTAATTTTTTTAAATATCTTTATTATATTATTATCAATAAGATTTTCTCAAGTATGGATGTAGAGTCACCCTTTTTTTTTTTTTTTTTTATAAGGGTAAAACAAATATTTATTTATTTTATTTTTTATTTTTATTTTTATTTTTAAATATTTTTTGAAAAACTTTTTTTTTTTTTTTTTATCATTCACTTCATAATAATCATTTACAAAAATTTTTATTTATATTTTTATTTTAAAAACTTGAGATGAAAAAAAGAATGTGGAAAATAATAATAATAAAAATTTAATCATTTATAATTTATTTTTTTTTATTATTTTATTATATATTGCATTTAAAAAATAAAAATATTTTCAAAGTATTTTTTTTATCAATTATAATAATAACGATAAAATTCTAAAAAAAATGTAATTAAGTTTACATATTATATCGAATATCGATATGAGTGGGAATTCTAAATTTAGGGGTCCGCTAAAGAGGGGGGTAATTTTTCATATAATGATCGAATTTCTAACGGAAAAAAAGTACAAATATATGAATAATACGAGAAAATGAATGTTTTAAACCTACTTTTGAATACTAGTAAAAAATGTCGGAGAAGTAATTTTACATATAATATCACCCTTACTCTAACTCTAACCTAACCCTAATTTTAATTAAATAAGTGCGTTTACCCCGCTTTAGCGATTCCCTAAATTTATTACATTAAATTATTAAACAATAGTCCTAAATAGTGTTGCAGACATTTAGAGGGTCAAAGGTAGTTATTTTTATACGTCATATAAAATTTATATATCAGATATAATTTTATACGTCATATTAAATACGTCACGTCAATACGTCATAGTAAATGTTAATTGATATTCTAATCCTAAATTTAGAATTCACTTGGCGGCACTCGTTCCAAAAAATAAAAAAGATGGAAAATTCATATTATTGTGAAGAAATTGCCGAGAAAAAATAACGATTATTTAAAAAGTCGCTGGCGTTAGGATCATGTAATAAATCAGTTATTACACGTAATGTTGACAAGTAGCATTTGCATAGATCTCGCATTTCAAAATTGCACGAGTCCCTGGAATTCCATTTCAACCTAACACTAACTAGATTATTAGCTTATCGATTCGATTAAAATTCCACGGAAGCATTATGTTATACTATAGTAAAATTATCAGGTGGGCATTTGGAGTAGGTATGTGTTATGCGCAACAATAGTCGCTTCGATACGTAACACGACATGTTGTTTGTTAGTTTGATTTCAATACCCAACCATAAATTAACATCTAGAACACCATAACTAATATTTTCCGGTGGCTTTTTGCTTAAACAAGCAATTTTTGATTACACTATTTTAATTAAAACTAAAAATGGAAGCATATGATTGGTTCCAATTTTCTTTTTATATACGCCTGTATGAATGCTAAGTGTTATTTTCCAAGGGATTTCATTATTATTTTCTGTCTTCTTTTTACTTCATTTAATACATTCACTATTTTCATTTCATATCGAAAAAAATGGCCGAAAAACAAACCAACCGCAAAATGGTCATTTTTTCTGTCTCTTTTTATATAACTACGGCACTTGTAATGGTATTTGTGAACAAGGTAAAGAATTTAAATTTATTTTATTTTATTTTTTGAAATAATTTCATTTTTTAGTTAACACCTTTTTTATTATTATTGATTTTTTTTTTTTAGTGGGTATTGAATAGCGTCGATTTACCTTTTTCTTTACTCTGGTTCCAAGTTGCTTTTGCGGTAATTCTTTTACATATCTCGGCAGCTTTTGGTCTATTTCAATTACCAATAGTACAACAGGATATATGCGTTGGTTTATTGCCACTTGTCATAATTAATGTCTTGGGATTAAGTTTTAATACTGTATGTCTACAATATGTAGATGCTAGTTTCTATCAGGTTTGATATTTTATCTATCTACATATATTTTATTATACGATTAATATTTTATGTTTCTAAATATTCTTTTCTACTTATGTAATAAAAGGTTGCTCGTGCATTGGTACTTCCATTTACTGTCCTATTTTCTTACATATTCCTTTACCAAAAAACATCAATGATGATTCTCTTGGCATGTTTTATTGTCTGTATGGGATTCTTTGTTGGTGTATCTTCAGAACGTTTAACATTATCTATGCTTGGAGTCTTTTTTGGTGTATGTTCATCTGTTTCAACAGCTTTACACGCGATTATTATAAAGAAAAGTTTAGATGTTGTTAAAGGAAATACTATGGAATTAGTTTATTATAATAATTTATTGAGTACTATCGCGTTTGCTCCTGTAATCTTATTAGCAGGAGAACATAAAGATGTTTTCAATTTATTTTTCGACTCTGATCCTACCGTTTTATCTGATGGTAAAAATGATTCCTCCGCTAGAACTTTTCTAATTGGTATTTTTGTTACGGTATATATATAATAATAATAATAATATTATTATTATTTTACTTTAATTTATGTGATCTATACATATATATATATATATATTTTTAACTAATTTTATTCTCATTTGAATATTTTTAAAGGGTTTCTTCGGATTTTTAATAAATGTTGCTGGATTTCTTCAAATCAAAGTCACATCCCCTGTGACTCACATGATTTCATCCGCATTCCGAGGTGTTGTTCAAACTATTCTTGGAGCAATTCTCTTTGAAGAAATTTTAACTAGTGGTCGTGTTGGTGGTATATTTATAATACTCTCTGGAAGTTGTTTATATACATGGGTTAAAGATCAAGAGAACAAGAGACAAATCGAATCTTATGAAAAATTAGAAAAAGGTGAATTAAATCGGGATGAAGGATTTAATATTGAAAGTGAAAATAATGAGAAAGGAGATGAGTAATTAATCAAAAGGATATATATATATGTATTTATAAAGCTTTACATGTACTGTATTACTTTAAAATAATAATTTTAAAATAATTTTTTCTATAATAATTTCATACTAATTTTTTCCAAAAATAACAATTAATGATAAAGATTGTCCTGGGACGTAAACTTGAAAATAGGTTGAAATTGTAAATAAATTTTTTTTTAAAAAAATGAAATAAAAATTTAGAAAAACATTTTCAATAAATAATTAAGTTGAGCTCTTGATTATTTGTCGCACTAAATAACAATGAGTTTGAAATCAAATTTTTTTTTTTTTTTTTTTTTTAGGCAGTTTTAAAAGCTAAAATTCTAAACTGCAAGACTCGCTTAAAATAGCTAAAAAATTTTGATTAAACGTTATATACTTCATTTATAATTAAATTAAAAAGTAATTGTCAAAATTTTTTTAATGTTAATTGAACATATTGAATTTACATTTTCATTAAATGTTTCTTGAAAATACATATATTTTATGAAAGAATAGTTTTCAAAACCTTTTATTTGATTGACTTCTATACATTCTATACACCAATACCAAAACACCAATAAAAGCGGCAGTGGCAATGAGCTTAAGAGTGAACAACAATCCAGACCAGTTTGAAGATGCAGTTTCTTGTGGTCGTGAAATTGGCTGATTAGAAAGTGTTAGTTGTTTCATGAAAACTTAATTTTTTAACAATAGCAAAACAATAACAAAACAATAGCAAAAAAATAGCAAAACAATAGCATATGAATATTACCTTCTGAGCTCGCGGAGGGACAGAAATAATATTGTTTGTTGTGACGCTAACAATATCGTGGCTATCTATAAATTTTCAAATATAATGTCTAATTAAAAGGAATACAAATGGTCAAAAAAAAAAAAAAATTTTAATAAAAATATATATACCGCAAACATCACCGGTCAGTGCACTAAAGCCAAGATAGGCAACCGAAGGAATAGTTATGTTATTAATAGTAAAGCATGGTTCCCATTGGTCCCATTCCTTATATTGTAATTTGACCTGGTTTAACGTATAATATGAAAATTTTGAATATACAAAAATATTTCATATGGTAATAAAAGTTGTAATAAAGATGTATTTCAACCTCAAGATATGTATTCTTGTAGTATGTGATGAGCGCTTTTGTTGCAACAGATTTTCCACGTATATCAGCCTAAAAGAAAGTTATATAATTAATATTTGCTTAACTAATGACTTTTAATTAATATCTTACCTCGCATCCTGCAATTTCGTTTGCTTTACCGTCATTAGCATTATCATATTCCGTATGGCCGTCTCCCAACATTGCCATTACATAGGGAAACGAATGCTAACGATAGCTAAAGGTGGTAAGAAAATGACAAATTCGTAAGGAAAAGACAGCATGTTCCACGCATCGTATAAGTACTTACTGATTGTCTAGAATTAGCATAAGTATCAAAGAATATGCCTAATCCTTCAAATTTATCAATAAATCCAAATACTGGTCCGGGCTTTGCTCGGTCTGTGGTAAACCATACAGCCATCCCATCGCCAAATAAATTGGGATTATTTCCGTCAATCTTGAATTCAAATTCAACCTGCCAATTCGTAGCTGTCAAGGGCTATTCGTAAATGTAAATATTAAAAAATATGAGCATTCAATAATAAATTTTGTCTGAATGGTTTGTTATTTTTTTTTAGACTCAAAATTTACAGTCTGCCATCGATACTTTTAACGGACTATGTCATCTTGCTTGTCCGGATTAAATGGAAACGACCTGTAACATTTTAAGCTTTCAAATTGACACAAATCAATCTACTAATAGCTCGTAAAAAAAAAATCATTCGTACCAATCTACTCCAAAGCCAGCCTGTTTGAGATTGTCGATCGTGAGTTAGTCTAATATATTTGTTAGTGTTAATTACTGTGTCGGCACCAAAGTCAAACCAGCGGTTTTGAAGATCTTGGTCTAAATTAAATTGAATAGCATTTTGATTAACTTTTTGCTAGTATTTAACTTAAAAAGTGGTAACATCTTAATCCCTCACCAATATAAGGCATATAAAGAGAGTGGGTACGTAATGGAATGATGCTTTCTGCTTGATTAGCTTGGTTGACGCTAGTATCTGCCTTAACAAATATAAAAATAGAACAAATAACAAGACCCCAAAGGGTCAGCTCCTTAAATAAAGCAGTCATCGTGGTGACGAATTGTAAGAAGGAACTTTGTTTTATATAACTGATAATATTTATAGTTTATATTGCTGAATTAGACTCGGTGGCTGATACCTTGTAGTGCAAATACACCAGCCAATTTACAATTTTCCATAAATATACCAAATTTTTATTTTGTCGGAAACTCGCACAATGTCAAGCGGTGAACAACAATTTCGCGAGTCGTTGCGTTCTTTTCGTTGGGCTTCTAGCTCTAACAATGCCAATATTTCTACTAGTAAACCTACCTCCTTTTCTCGACTTGCCGAAAACACTTCAAATTTTTTTGGGAGCATTGGCAATAGGGTGCAAGGATATCTACCCGTAACAGCCAATTCGGCTGAACAAGAAGATGACTGGTTCACACTAACCAGATGGCAGGTTAGTTCAATTAACCTTTTTGATTGATCACTTTATTATTATACGTTATTAATAATTTATATCTTTACAGCGACTCGTTGGTTTTGGTGTATTGTTTGCTGCCGGAGCACTTTGCTTTCTAATTGTAAGTTGTTTTTTCTTTATATTGGTTCCTAATTTAATACTGCATGGTTAAATAATACGTATTTGCTTATTAAATAGGCTTTCGTGTCTTTGCCACTTTTAGCTTTAAGACCACGAAAATTTGTGATCACCTACACAATGGGCAGCTTTTTAATTATCTTAAGGTTCGTTACGTTTGAAGTTTATGATAACTATCAAATAGATTATAACTTTATGTTGTAATTATTTGTCCTTATAGCTTTGCTCTACTTCATGGACCATTGGCACACCTTCGACATATATTTTCTCGAGAACGTCTTCCTTTCACTATTGCTTATATCGGCTCAATGGTTGCAACTTTATATTTTGCGCTTGGGGTAAAATGATGTTTCCTCTTTAATAAGTTGATTTATTTTATAATATATATATATATATACTAATAAATATTTCTAACTCTTATTGTTTCTTGCTATTTAAAGTTAAAAAGTACTATTCTCACCATCATATTCAGCGTTATTCAAGTAATTGCACTTATATGGTAAGCAGATTAACATATATCAATCTGCAATCTGGTAACTCAGACAAATGTTCAAGTTTAAAAATAACATAACTATATTATTCACAGGTATATCGTTTCGTATTTGCCTGGTGGAACCAGCACTTTACAAATGGGATCCCGTATACTTACTAGACAAGCTTCTGACATGTTTACTGTTTAATAGCAGTTAAATCACCAGTTTAAAAAATTTCGCTAATCACGTGATATTGATTTCACGGATCTTCCGATAATGGGATTATTGCGATGAAATTTTAACTGTTATTCTTTGCTTCGCAAAGGATAGTTGATGTTTTCGCTACGGCTGTCGCCTCCGCTTCATCATTTTTTTTTTTTTTTTTACTAAAATCTAGAAAAAAAAAGATTTTTAGTTACCTTACTTTAACTCTAAATTTAAACAAAGACTTTAACTAAATTGAAGGTTTAAGATTAAAGAAGTTTAATAAAATAAAAATATTTATAACAATAATAATTATTATTAGATGCTTGAATTTGTATTACTAATATATTTTTATTATATAATATTATTGACTAATCTATTAATTAATTAAACTATTTAACAACTATCTGACTAAATTTAGAAAATTTATATTTTAATATTAGTTCTTCAGAATTTTTAAAAAAAATATATTAGGTTATATAAAATTAATAAATTGGTTTTCATAACCTGGTCAGGTCAAAGTTTGAAAACTTTCAAAAAATTTTTTTTATATATTTTAATAACTAGGTAGGTTTTTGTAAAAAAAATTTTATAATATTTTATAAAATTTTTACATATAAAATTTAAAAAAAAAAAGCTAGCTGGCTGAGTTTGATTTAAAATTTCATGTTATAAAAACCAAGTAATTTAATTTGTATAGCCTTAGTAGTTAATAATTAAATTTTTTTTGTATTTTTTTTAATCTACTAATGAGTTATGATAGCAAATTAGCACTAAGTAGGAATTCTTTTTGCATAGTTGCTTTAATTATTTTATTTGATATTACTATTTATTAGAACAATAGTAATCTTATTTTATTACTTAAAAACATTTTAAGTATTTTCTTATTCGACTAGAAATACTTTAATCTTCAATTTTATTTCAATTTTTATTTAATTTTTAATTTTTTGAAACTTCGAATTTTCAGAGAAAATTTTTAAAACTCAAGGAAAAGAGTAATAATTTTTAAACAATCCTCTTTATAATTCCTAGAGCAAAAAAATTTTTTTTATTTTCGAACAATACTTGAACAATTTTTGGATATTTTTTTTGAAACAGAAAATTTATTTGAAACAGAATTTCTTTAATTTTATAATACTTGGATATTTTAAATTTGTAGAAAAAATTTCTTTAAGAGAGAGAATATGTTATAGAATAGATTTTAGCATAATTTACATTATATTTTTATTAGTTATATTTATTAGTATTTTAGTATTATTTC